GTGCTGCCAAACTACATAAACTTAAAATATCGAAAAATATACAGCGCGCGAATTTTAAATGAGAACTTCCGAAAACCTTTCGGTCACAATGTATATGTATTAAACACCTAAAAAATCGGTTTTAGAGTAGAGAAGTGGAAGACAAGAGTTGCTTCCAGAAGGAAGATAGTGATTTTCAAGAAAAATTCATTTTTTATATGTATATAAAATATATTTAAAAAAATTATATAATATTATTTATTATTATATTATTTATTTATAATTATTATTATATTATTTATTTATTATTATATTATATATAGAATTATTTTTCGTATAACGCCATTTGTTATGAGTGCCAGAGCATCAGTTATGTTCGTGATTGCACTAAACCTCAAAACCCTTTACTTAATATGTCGGATAAAAAATATGTTATTTACTATTTACCTATAGGAAACTATATTTGAATATTGGATTTTTAGCATATAATATAATCATATATGCTTATATATATAAACTATATTGTGGTAGTTACTGTGTATGAAGGACACCATGAACTAGTATTCTAGCATTTTGTCTATTCATCCAAGAAATGTCTATTCATCCAAGAAAATGTTATTATTCTGATCAAGAATATATGCTGGGTATATCAATATATGGTAGGTACGATACATCTTCATCGATGAATTCTTTTATGCGTAAGAAACTTTATTTCTACAGAACATGTGTGAAAAACAGAATAAGAAAGAATAAATGTTAAATAAGCATTACAAAAATATATAGCATTTCTATCTTTCTGAATCGTTCCATGCACAAAAACATCGTATAGCTGGATATCCAACACTACCAAAAAAAAAACATGCTATGTAAAAATTCTTTACATGTCAAAAACTTTTCATTCGGATAACTTAAATCGGACCCGTTTTTTTTTTCATAAAACAACTTTGAATTTAAAACTGAATTATTGCTCTATTTGGACCCATTCCATTTGAGTTTTGTTTTTTTTCGAAAATATTAGCTCATTTTTGTAAAAAATATATTTTTTCTGAAAATTTTAGGAAGGCCTTTATCATTGCGAACATTTCAATCCAAAAAAGATTCCTCCTGACATGCACCGTTTGCCTCCAATTATCCTTTAAAGTGAGTTACCTAGGGTCTTTTTCGGTAAAAGCTATGCAAATTCCCTTTGCGCATAAACAATTTGTGCATTTTTGCTGAAAAAGGCAATGTGCCTGCTTCAGAGAAAAACTACTGGGAAAAAGTGCATGATAGAAGAAAAAATCATAAATTTAAATTTAAAATTTAGTGAAATGTTCGCAAGATAATAAGTTATATACAATATATTAACTAAAAAATTTTAAACACTAATTTTGATAAAAATTTATTTTTCATTAATTTGATAAAATAAAATCAATTTTAAATTATCATCATTTCTGAATTTCTGATCTGTTATAGGCTATAAAGCAATATACAATAAGTAAAATGATTTAAATGAACCATTTTTGAGGTATCAAGGATTTTTGACTGAATGTTCTCTTCAAACTAGAACTTTCTTCAACGTTTATATTATTTTTTTGATTTTTCCAACTAAAAAATCACTCGTTCATATAATTTGTACTCCAGTACAAAAACTCTATAAATATATTTTAGAAAAATATAACATAAATTATAGTATTTAACATTCATTTAATTAAAAAACAACTTTAAAATATTTTTTACAAATGCCGAAGTTTGCTCTTAATTTGCAGTAAAATATATTTCACCCCAAAAAAAGCTCTGTTATTAATCCTATAGAAAATTTATGGGCTAATTTCGTGGAAAAGTAGTAAAAAGGTTACTCAAACATGAAATGAGTTAATAACATTTATTAAGGACAACGGCAAAAAAGGATAGGAGACTGAGAAGGAAGAGTAATAAGCAGCCATTAAAACTTTTATTAATTACAAGCAAAATAAATTAAATTTTACAGAAATCCTTATAAAATTTTGAAAAGAATGACACAGAATGTTGGAGAGGTATTGTTTATTTGTTATTTAATATTGCTTCCAGACTTAGTGTTTTCAAAGTGTTCAAAATAAATCACTATAAGGATGCAGTTCTTAATGATTAAGTTTGAATCCTTAAAGTTGAATGAATAGAATGATCAATTACAGTGCACTCATTACTTATTTAAAGATGCTACATATTAATAATAAATTATAAATAATATTCAAAAATGTCTCAAAATAATATTTTGATAATAATAATGAATAATAGTGATAATGAAAATAATATTTTGAGAAGTTCCATTTTAAATCTTCATTAGAAATCTTCAAATTAGACTAGTTAAGGGTTTTGATGTTAGAATTGGTTGCGAAATCTCTACTAGAATTGTGACTTAGCAAATGGAACCAGATGCTCTTTTGTAACCTTCAATTGAATTTTAGTGATAAACATTAGAACTTTATAATAATGAGTTCCATGTTTAAATCATAATCCTAAAGTAAGGTTATTTTACTTTCCAGTCAAGACTGAAATTAATTGCATGCTCTCAAGCGTATATATATATACAAGCTTCAGGGTTTTCCAAAAGATTATAATAACACGGCAACTTGACCACTATCAACGAACAAGTTGACCAAACTCTAATTCTTACATCTAGAGTACACCTCGACTATCAACTTCTGAAAACTCTTATAACTGCAATAATTTCATTCAAAAATTCGCTATATAATAATCTAATATTCCAAAAGCAGTTGCAGTGTTAGAGAAACAATGAGATTATGATAATACGGAGAAGAGTAGAATTTAAGGATGAATATGAATGCATGTACATCGCCTATGGCTTTATTGCATTACCTTAGGACTCCTATTTTTAAGATATTTCTCCTCCTAAGAATTTATTTATTTCCCTGTTTGAAGACCTACCTGTATTATTTTAAGCAATTTATTTTCTTTGAGAATTTTGTGAATATAAAAGTTTTAATTTAACGTCAAATTTTTCAGACGGAAGTGACTATTATATTTAATAGAAACTTGTTATATTTCATAAAGTGTTTTTTTTGAACAGCAGTGAACTACAACAACAAAAATTCATTTTTATATTATTTTAATTAATTGAATTCTTGGCTGACCATACAGCTATTTTGATTATTACCAAATACAAATTTTGTGAAGCATCCGATATCAGTTCCTTAAGGGTTCTCTAAAAGTGTTTTCAAAAGAATTATAGACCTTTGCCTTGCCAAAACTGAACATGTTAACTATAAATGAGTGCTATATAAATCGTCTCCAATAGTATATTAGTACCAAGAAAAGGTACCATCAATTTCACTGAAACATCACTAATGATGAATTTTTAACAATTTTAGAAACAGCTGTTTCGTAAGCCAAAGAATTCCCTTTATTAATAGTTAAATTTTCTGATTTAAAAATTTCATCAGCATTATCTTTTCTATTTAAAGATAGATAGATTGCTTGTCATAAAAAAATATTTTAATCAAATATTAAAATAAATAAATAAAATATTCAAAATATGCCTAATATTTAGTGGTCTCATTTTTTGTTAATAAATTTTTGCCTTCTTATTTATAATCCACAGTTTACTAATATCTAGTATTCAAGTAAGTAAATTTTGTACATACACAACTTAATAGTTTGCAGTGTAGTACACAAAACAACATTGTTTTTGCTGCAAGTTTGTTTTATTTTTTGTTTTGTATACAGTTTTGAATATTACATTATTTTACTTTTTCTACTTTTATGCAAGTTTACTAGGTCTCAACCTAATTCAAATGTATACATTACTCAGAAAAAAGGAATACTAACTAACTGATCTACTGACTTAAGATTAAAATTAAAAATGAAATATAAATAGATTATAGAATTTTCGATATCATTATCGCCACTTTACAAAGACTTACACCTTTATTCAATATAGTTTAAAAGGTGTAATTAAATTTCTCCTTTACTTGAAATTGAGTACATTCTTTTAATTGGAAATACCCTATTAAAATACCTTTAACTTAAGCACCACAAAGAAACTAATTTACAGCTTCTCAATAGAATATATAGTAAGTATATTCTCATACCAGATTTATTATTTCATACTTAATAGGCGTAAATAAATTATTAAAAAAAAAATCAACCGCAAATAAACATTTACTTGCGCAATTATTTCTAATTATAAACGGTTTGGCAGAAGTTCGATGTGCGGTGGTGGGGTAATTACTTCTGTGTCTTTAACCAAAAACGCACAAAACCACCACAGCCAATGCAATTGTTTTTGTTGTTGTTTTAATCATTCTCAGGCCCAATCAGCAGAATGTCAAAGCATACGCAAATTAGCAAGCCCACATAAAGTAAATTTAATTAAACTTGTCAATTATGTGTCAAACACATTTATATTTATTACGTTTGTTATTATATTTGCGGTTTTATGGGTTTTGTTATTATTATTATTTATGTTTTGTATTTAATCACAATTCTGTTAAAATATTAAAATTTATTTAAAAATTATTTATGAATTTTGAACGTTCATTAAATTTAAATATATATATAAATATTTTTACAAATGCCGGCTTCAAATGTTTTATGTTTTTGTCTCACTTATTTTAAAATTTTTATTTTAT